CTTTGTAAAGTAAATATTTAGTATGTACGATATTTTGAAGGCTACTTTTTCATTCTTTTTGTTCGTGTTATAAGCGTGTAAGCAGCAGCCTTAGTTTTCAAACTTCAATTGTTCATAACTTTTTTATTAACAACGAGCGACGGCTAAAATTTTTCGGATTGTTACTCAGGAAGGTGTCCTTGACAACATATGTCAAGCTCATTGAAATCGAAGGGGGGTGACCTTTTCTGTATATTTACCATTATCAGTTACTGCTTTAATATTGCCACGTCTCACGGCTTACGGCGGCAAGGTCAGTGCCGACCTAGGAGCCTGGCCTCATCTTCACGAACTGGAATTGGCAGATCCAGATTTCTTAGCGCAAGACCCGATCGACTTGCTTCTAGGCGCCGACGTTTACAAAACGATTCTGCAAGAGGGCTTGAAGAAGGGCAGCTCTCGTTCACCAATTGCTCAGCGCTCAAGTTTAGGTTGGATTATTTCCGGTCTCGCAGGAGAGGCAAGACAGGACGCGGAAATGTCATTTAATCAATGCTCCATTACCGAAGAACTCAACGTTCTCGTACGGCAATTTTGAGAGCAGGAAGAGCCCCCGGCAACGCCGTCTCCATTATCCGCAGCCGAAAAACGGTGTGAGGAATTTTATGCTTCGACACTCTCGCGAAAATCGGATGGCCGATACGTGGTCCGCTTGCCACTCGCGATCGCGCTTCCGGATCTTTCAGACACTCGCAGGTCCGCAATTCGGTCGCTCCGCGCGATGGAGCGCCGTTTCAAAAGCGACGCATCTTTCCGTGATCTATATGCGCACTTTATTCAAGAGTATAAAACGCTTGGTCACATGACACAGGTGCAACCTTCAACAATCGAACAGCAAAAGCAAATGTGCTACTTACTTCATCACGGCGTGTTGAGAGCCGCGAGTCAAACAACTAAACTCCGCGTAGTTTTCAATGGTTCACAGCAAACTTCAGCCGGAGCTTCTCTGAATCAATGTCTCCTGGTGGGTCCGAACCTCTTGCCGGCGTTAGCAGATGTCATCACTCGCTGGCGCTGTCACAGATATGTGATGATCAGTGACGTGGAAAAGATGTATCGCCAGATCAAAGTTCATCCAGATGACCGCAATCTGCAACGAATACTGTGGAAATCCAATTCGTCAATTGAGGAATATCAAGTAAATACGGTCACTTACGGCCTTGCATGCGCCCCATTCCTCGCGATTAGAACTCTCAAACAATTAGCTAACGACGAAGAGGCACACTTTCCCGAGGGAGCTGCCGCACTACGTCGCGACGTCTACGTAGACGATGTGCTCACAGGAGCTCAGTCTCTGGGCGAAGCAATCAGGTTGCGAAGTCAACTGCAAGGTTTGTGCAAGGCGGGCGGGTTTCCACTGAGGAAGTGGGCGTCCAATGCTCCGAGCCTCGTGGATGATCTACCGCCAGACCTGTGCGCTCAGCAAAGCCGCAGCTGGCAGTCGGGCGAGCTTCACTCAGCGCTGGGCCTTCAGTGGGATCCATACTCGGACTGCTTTGCCTTTGTCATCAATCTGCGTCCGAGAAGTACAACCCTCACGAAGCGCAACTTACTGTCAGAAACGGCGCAGTTGTTCGACCCGCTGGGCTGGCTTTCCCCAGTGAGCGTCAGTGCCAAGCTGCTTATTCAAACTACATGGCTGCAGCGCCTCGACCGGGATGATCAACTTCAAGAAGAAAAAGCGGCTCAATGGACGCGCTTTCGCGAGGAACTGTCTTCCTTAAACTCTGTGCGCGTGCCTCGATAGATTTGCACGATGCACACGGTGCGCGACTGGAGCTACACGGTTTCGCAGACGCATCCAAAAGAGCCTATGCGGCAGTAGCATATCTACGCGCTGAGACAGAGGATGGTCAAGTCCTCACGTCTTTGCTGCTCGCAAAAACCAAGGTGGCGCCGCTGAAAAGGATATCGTTACCTCGTTTAGAACTGTGCGCAGCTTCACTGCTCGTGAAAGTCATTCATCACATTGTGACAATCTTAAATATGCCAACAGGTGCCATTCACCTCTGGTCAGATTCCACCGTCACGCTAGGTTGGATTCAAGGTCATCCCGCTCGTTGGTCGACTTACGTCGCCAATCGTGTCTTAGAGATACAGCGCGTACTTCCAAATGCAAGCTGGCACCACGTTCGCAGTGATCAAAATCCAGCCGACTGTGCGTCCCGAGGTTTGTCTCCGAAATCAATACTCAGTCATCCGCTATGGTGGCATGGCCCGCCCTTTCTCTCTGCTAAGGCGAGTTTGTGGCCGAGAGTGTCGCCTTCTGATTTGGATGACGAGCTGCCAGAGCAGCAAACGCGAGTTCACAACGCTGCAGCAGCACCAGCTCCCAAAGAGTCTGACATACTCCTCAGATTCTCATCATTATCACGTCTGCTCCGAGTCACAGCGTGGATGCTACGCTGGGCGAAATGGGGATCCATAAACGTTAATACTTATGTTTTGTCACCAGATGAGCTAGACCGCGCCGAGACGATGTAGATTCGTCACTCGCAGGCTATCTTTTACAAGGCAGAACTCATGGCACTGAAACAAAATCAGCAACTGGAAAACCGCAGCACAATCAAAACTCTCAACCTCTTCATGGACGATCAGGGCACAATACGAGTCGGAGGACGATTAAAACACGCTCCGCTCAGTGCTGACGAGCGACACCCCATCATTCTGCCGCAAACCTCTCATTTCACCGGACTCGTAATCCAGGCTTGCCACCAACGAGTACTACATGGCGGAACTCAGCTCACGCTGAGTCTTGTGCGCAAAAAGTTCTGGATCCCCCGCAGGAGGATGCCGGTTAAACGCAGAATACACAGGTGCATCACTTGCGTGCGATGGCGGGCGGTCTCTCCGCAACCAATGATGAGCAACTTGCCTTCTGCTCGCGTACAACCGAGTCGGCCGTTCCTGCGCGTGGGCCTTGACTATGCCGGTCCGATATTTTTGAGAACCGCTCGCGGACGAGGCCATAAGTTATACAAGGCTTTTATCTGCATCTTTGTTTGTATGAGTTCCAGGGCAGTTTATCTGGAAGCTGTCTCAGACTACACGTCCGACGCATTTCTGGCGGCATTCAAAAGATTCTGTTCTCGCAGAAAGCTGTGCACCGATGTTTACTCCAACCGGGGAACCAACTTTATCGGGGCCGATGCCCAACTGCGGGCTCTTTTCCGGGCAGCAAACAAAGAGGCTCAGCAAATTGCCAACAGCATCGGAAATCAAGGAGTTCGATGGCATTTCAATCCACCAGCCGCTCCACACTTCGGTGGCATCTGGGAAGCCGCAATTAAGTCAGTAAAACATCATCTTCGCCGAGTGATAAGAGATTCGACCTTGACTTTCGAGGAGATGTCCACACTTCTCTCTCAGATCGAAGCGTGTTTAAATTCAAGATCGCTTCAGGCAATGTCAGATGACCCTACAGATTTAACTGTACTAACTCCAGGGCATTTTCTGATTGGAGAGCCTGTTCAGAGCGTTCCGGAACCACGAATCGACAAGATTCCTGACAATCAACTTGCCAGATGGGAGCTTATTCGGAAGATGAGAGATCACGTGTGGCAGCGATGGTCACAGGAATATCTACGTGAGCTATCCGCCCGCAGTAAATGGTGGAAGCTATCTAAAAATCTGGAGGTGGGTCAGCTATGCCTCCTGCGTTCAGAAGCATCTCCGCCATCCAAGTGGCCATTAGCACGCATCACGGCTGTCCACCCCGAAGGAGACGGCCAAGTGCGCGTCGTCACGGTGCGAACAGCATCGTCGGAGCTAACGAGACCAAGCGTAAAGATCGTACCTCTGCCAGCCGCGTTTGGCGAGGGTTAACAAAGAAAAAAAAAGCAAGGCAGCTGTGCAGGAATTTTGTTGCTCCTCCCTAACACTGTCTCCTTTTTTATTGTATAATGTTACAGTTGCTTACCTAGCTATGCTCGCTCTTACTTTTTTTGGTTACAAGCGCCAAACTTATTGTCTTGCCACTTCTAGTAATTTTATCGCGTGAACAAGTTACCCGACAGCTGTTAACGCGATGCAACAATAGAGAGATTTCCCGAGTCACGCCAGAAGGATCAACTTGCATTTCGTCGTCAAACCGATGAGACGGGCGGTATGTTCAAGCATCACACTGGACGCGAGCAAAAAGTATTCTCCGGTATATTTCCCAGGAATATTTGATTCCTAAATCTGCAGGTTCACACATAGTAGCGTTTGTGCGAGATAACAGCAAAACCGGCAGCAACAGTGAGAGAGGTCGAAAAATAATCACTCTTGTTGACAAATCAATCAACACAACTGGCCGTGGTTGACATCTTTCAAAGTCACAGCAACGGTAAGGAGAGAACGACGCAAACACGTGCCGTTCAAATCCATCAGCGTTTACCAATCAAAAAGAAGCAACACTTCCTCAAGCAGGCTCTCGCCTAATCAAAACTGAAGACTATCGACAGGACAAGCTCAGCGCTCTCAGCTGCCGCGACTAGATTTTCTGCGCGTTCAGTTCAACTTAGAATTATGTCGTGGCAATCTCAACTACTTTTCTATCTCACTGCCGGCGCAAGATTCGTGCAAAAGCATCGTTAAATTAAAAGCACACCGAGGCAGCATTGCGTTATAAATAGTTCTCTTTTTGTTTTGTATACTGATTTTTATTTCAATATATATTGTTGTTTTTTCTCTACATTGTGTGCCAGTTTTAGATACACTCTTTTTCACTTCCTTAAACTGTCTTAAACCTGTGAGTGTGTGCGCCGAAATCGCATCCCGCGTGTAATTTCGCGCTCCAACGTAAACATTTTGAAACGATCAAACAGAAGAAATAATACCTATTATTTTGACAGCAATGACATTTAACGTACGACGGTACGTTTACAGTGTTAAATGAGTTTAAAAAATGACAAAGCACCAATATTAAACGCTTCTAATAAACGGTACAATAAAAATTAATGTTGTACAATGTTTGTAGCAGAACATCTTCTTATTAAAACATAACATTAAAGCACAATGCTTTGTATTATTAGGTGTTGGAATTAATTCGTAGCGTTTTCCAAGACATGGCGTAGGTAGTGCAGTATTTGTGGGGTGGATTCTTGCCTGCGTCGAAGCGCTCAAAGCCCGCCCCTTACGGTGCTTCCGGTGCTTACGCCCGGGGCACACGGAGCATTACTGCCCCAGAAGTGAGCCGGACCGCAGCGGCCGTAGTTACCGCTGCGGCCTTAGTGGGCACCTGCTCCGGCAGTGTAAGGCTCCGGAGCCAAAGTGCCCACTGTGCGGGGATCTGGGGCGTCCCTCCCGGCATGTGCTGGGAGGCCCCAGCTGCCACCCCCCTCCTGCTGCAGCTGGTGGTTTAGCCACTACGTTTGCCGCTCCAGCCAAGCTGGCGGAAGGGGTGGCAGGAAAGAGAAAAAGAAGGAAGAGTCCGTCGGGCGGAGATTTCCCACTTGCTGCGGGGAGGTCTTCTTCTCCGCAGCTGGGGGTCTCCGAGCCGATGGACTGTGAGTCGGCGGTGATGGGCGTGGATCCCCCTCGCGGGGCTACCGCCTCCCCGACTCTAACGCCATCCCGGAGCACGGAAAAGGGTGCTCCTTCTTCTGGTTTCGGGGGGACTTGTTCTCCCGGTTCCAGGGAGGACACCCTATCTCCCTCGCTGAAAAGAAAGAAGAGGGCGACCTCCTTGGTCTTGTTGTCCTCTTCAGCTCCCTCTAAGGGACTGAAGATGGACCCGAGCAGGGCGCTCGCGGCCCTGCTCGGATCGGGGGGATCAAAGAAGAAGGTCCGTCCTGGGCCTGCTTCCTCTAAGCCCAAGTAAGGGCTTGGTAGGCGGCAGCCCAGGGCCTGTGTGGGGGGGGGGGGAGAGCCATAGCACTCTGCTATGGCCAATTGACGGGGTCGGGCCTACCCCTCGGGGATGTTTGACCCGGGACTTTGGCAGTGTTCACAGTTTTAGCTTCCTTACAGCATGCTACAGCAAGTGGAGGGAATACGCACACAGGCGAGCAGCCGTGTACGTGTGCGCTCGACGCTTCGGCCGTCTTCGGGCGGTCGAAGAGAACAAAGATATATCTGCTGTCTCTTTCTTTCTATGTAGCTATAGCGTACGCGGCCAGCGCGAGCGGCTATGCTTCGCGCTGGCCACTGTTTATTGTTTTTCGCCGTTCGTCCCCATTCTCGCAATTATTAATTAAAAAAAACGCTTCAATTAAATAAACAACAATTAAAACCATAAAAAAATAATTAGAAAACTAAAACATATGAGAAGCATAAATGAAAAGGGAAGAATAAAAATCCACTCTTAGAGATATGAAAAAATCATATCTTGGCCAATATGTACGTATCTTTAAAAAAAAAAAGAAAAATGTTCTTAATTATTAATTTAGCAAAATGGCTTATTGGTAATATGTTCTTTCTTTGCTTTGTAAAAAGTATTTTTAGTTGTAGTTACGTTGTATTTTCTTAATTAATTTCCCATTACATACAGTGAGTCACAGTCAAAATCGTACACTACATATTAGAGAATATTTCGTCTCGTTAAGAAGTTTAAGGATGGTTTGGAAAAATAAATTTACTGGATATATACTGCAAACATATCTATATTTATTATGTAGTAATATAAAAACAAATGAACCTTCCTAAGTATTGAAAAAATAAAATTACTAGAATTCTGTCTCGAAAACGCCTCACAGCTAAAATTGTACATTTAAGAAAAATTATTTAACAAGGTATTTAAATGAAATCTTAGTATCTTGTTGAGTTTTCTCGATTACATTCTACCTTACGCAATCTATTTGGCATGGATTTTACTAATTTTTCAGTAAGATTAGGTTCAATTTTATTCTCTCTGTTAATGTTCTTTTCAAGTCAGATTTATTTTTAATAATATGTTTACGAATTCTAATTTCTAATTTGTGCGAAATGTGTTCAATGACATTCAAATCTGGTGACTGCGGAGGTGTATTTATTATTTTAGGGCAATTATAAAGTAGCCACATCTTGGCTACATGCGACGTGTGCTTAGGATCGTTGTCGCTATAAAATTTAAAGCGGTCTAATATTCCTAATATTAGACCGCTTTAAATAAACTATCCACTCCAGCAGCAGACATGCAACCCCAGACCATATGTAAATATAGTCTTTTTCCAGAAATCAAAATCTTTGTTCAAGTAGTCTCTTGCAAAATTTAATCTTTTTTTCTATTCTTCTCGCTCTACAAGAGGTTTATTCCGTGCGACCATAAAAATTTGGTTTCTTTAATACTCTTCTTTGGAATTTATAGAAGGCAATATGAACAAATACGATTACGTAAATATTTTGAAAGAAATTTTAAAGCAGAGTGCTGAAAAATTAGGAATATTAGACCGCTTTAAATTTTATAGCGACAACGATCCTAAGCACACGTCGTATGTAGCCAAGATGTGGCTACTTTCTAATTGTCCTAAAATAATAAATACACCTCCGCAGTCACCAAATTTGAATGTCATTGAACACATTTTGCACGAATTAGAAATTAGAATTCGTAAACATATTATTAAAAATAAATCTGATTTGAAAAGAACATTAACGGAGAGAATAAAATTGAAGTCTTACTTCAATACTAGTCTTACTGAAAAATTAGTAAGATCCATGCCAAATAGATTGCGTGAGGTAGAATGTAATCGAGAACACCCAACAAGATACTAAGATTTCATTTAAATACCTTATTAAATAATTTTTCTTAAATGTACGATTTTAGCTGTGAGGCGTTTTCGAGACAGAATTCTAGTAATTTTATTGTTTCAATACTTAAGAAGGTTCATTTGTTTTTATATTACTACATAATAAATATAGATATGTTTGCATTATATATCCAGTAAATTTATTTTTCCAAACCATCCTTAAACTTCTTAACGAGACGAAATATTCTCTAATATGTAGTGTACGATTTTTACTGTGACTCACTGTATGTGTCTATGTGTGCGCGGACTATGTGTCCGCGGGCGGCTTTTATCTTGCGCACGCAATCTTTATGATCGCGCGACTATGTTTTGGCAATGCTGTTAGCGTTGTTGAATAACGATACGCGGCAAAGAGCATCGAGCTGTCGTCGAGATCGCTACTTTTTGTGACTTATCGCAGCAAACTTTTCATAGAATTTTTCAAGTATTTCCAAATTTTCTACTTACTCTGTTTCTTTGAACATTCTTTTACTCTTCTTTGTCTTTTTTTACTTTTTTACATCTTTTTTCTTCGCGTTTCTATAATTCTATATTTCATTTTTCTTCATTTTCCTTTGTTTATTTTTAATTTCTTTTTTCATTCTTATTGTTTTTGTCTTAGCTATTATCGTTTCTCTATTATATATTCTTCTGTTTTTTTTCAATATGGAAACATGCGATAAAGCAAAAATACCAAAACGAAAATTCGTTGCGGCTTGGCTCAACGATGAACGATATAAATCATGGATATGCCAAGTACCATCGGATAACTCCTTGTATTATTGCACTATTTGTCAAAAAAGTTTTTTGTGTGATTCATCGCATGTTTCCAGACACGCGAATTCTGCGTGTCATAAAAATAACATAAAAAAACTACTGTAAATGACAATAAAGAAAAAGACAAAACATATACACAAAGTTTCCGACAACAATGGTTGGAGATAGAAGATTTTCAACCATGGTTACGCGAAGTACCCAATAATGACAAATTAGTCTTTTGTTACTTGTGCAATATAAACATAGCTAGCAAATTGTCAAATTTATACAAACACGCAGAATCCGAAATACATAGAGAGACCATTGATAACAATAATCTACTAATAAATAAAGATTTGAATACGCAAACGAATGAATCTCTTT